GTAGCTGACCGCCCTAAGACTGTAGCTGACCGCCCTAAGACTGTAGCTGACCGCCCTAAGACTGTAGCTGACCGCCCTAAGACTGTAGCTGACCGCCCTAAGACTGTAGCTGACCGCCCTAAGACTGTAGCTGACCGCCCTAAGACTGTAGCTGACCGCCCTAAGACTGTAGCTGACCGCCCTAAGACTGTAGCTGACCGCCCTAAGACTGTAGCTGACCGCCCTAAGACTGTAGCTGACCGCCCTAAGACTGTAGCTGACCGCCCTAAGACTGTAGCTGACCGCTCTAAGACTGTAGCTGACCGCTCTAAGACTGTAGCTGACCGCCCTAAGACTGTAGCTGACCGCCCTAAGACTGTAGCTGACCGCCCTAAGACTGTAGCTGACCGCCCTAAGACTGTAGCTGACCGCCCTAAGACTGTAGCTGACCGCCCTAAGACTGTAGCTGACCGCCCTAAGACTGTAGCTGACCGCCCTAAGACTGTAGCTGACCGCCCTAAGACTGTAGCTGACCGCTCTAAGACTGTAGCTGACCGCCCTAAGACTGTAGCTGACCGCCCTAAGACTGTAGCTAGCTGACCGCTCTAAGACTGTAGCTGACCGCCCTAAGACTGTAGCTAGCTGACCGCTCTAAGACTGTAGCTGACCGCCCTAAGACTGTAGCTGACCGCCCTAAGACTGTAGCTGACCGCCCTAAGACTGTAGCTGACCGCCCTAAGACTGTAGCTGACCGCCCTAAGACTGTAGCTGACCGCCCTAAGACTGTAGCTGACCGCCCTAAGACTGTAGCTGACCGCCCTAAGACTGTAGCTGACCGCCCTAAGACTGTAGCTGACCGCCCTAAGACTGTAGCTGACCGCCCTAAGACTGTAGCTGACCGCCCTAAGACTGTAGCTGACCGCCCTAAGACTGTAGCTGACCGCCCTAAGACTGTAGCTGACCGCCCTAAGACTGTAGCTGACCGCTCTAAGACTGTAGCTGACCGCTCTAAGACTGTAGCTGACCGCCCTAAGACTGTAGCTGACCGCCCTAAGACTGTAGCTGACCGCCCTAAGACTGTAGCTGACCGCCCTAAGACTGTAGCTGACCGCCCTAAGACTGTAGCTGACCGCCCTAAGACTGTAGCTGACCGCCCTAAGACTGTAGCTGACCGCCCTAAGACTGTAGCTGACCGCTCTAGTACTGTAGCTGACCGCCCTAAGACTGTAGCTGACCGCCCTAAGACTGTAGCTGACCGCCCTAAGACTGTAGCTGACCGCCCTAAGACTGTAGCTGACCGCCCTAAGACTGTAGCTGACCGCCCTAAGACTGTAGCTGACCGCCCTAAGACTGTAGCTGACCGCCCTAAGACTGTAGCTGACCGCCCTAAGACTGTAGCTGACCGCCCTAAGACTGTAGCTGACCGCCCTAAGACTGTAGCTGACCGCCCTAAGACTGTAGCTGACCGCCCTAAGACTGTAGCTGACCGCCCTAAGACTGTAGCTGACCGCCCTAAGACTGTAGCTGACCGCCCTAAGACTGTAGCTGACCGCCCTAAGACTGTAGCTGACCGCCCTAAGACTGTAGCTGACCGCCCTAAGACTGTAGCTGACCGCCCTAAGACTGTAGCTGACCGCCCTAAGACTGTAGCTGACCGCCCTAAGACTGTAGCTGACCGCCCTAAGACTGTAGCTGACCGCCCTAAGACTGTAGCTGACCGCCCTTTTTCAAAACAAAATGCACATCCGATTGGCGTGACCGGAACGTTTAGGGCGGTATCGATTCTCCCATTTCTGGTTTGGATCTGGGCCTGAGACGACGATGACAGATCCGTGACCCGAGTCATTAGCCACTTCCGGCACACGGGACATCAGGCGAACGATCCGCTGGTCGACCTCAAGATGACGGCTGATGGGCTTCAGCGGGCGAGTGTGTAGTGTTTGGTGGATAGTGTCATGACACCACAGCTGGTGGTAACACCAGATTATGTCATGACACTAGAGTATGTCATGAGAGTATGTCATGACACCAGAGTATGTCATGACACCAGAGTATGTCATGACACCAGAGTATGTCATGACACCAGAGTATGTCATGACACCAGAGTATGTCATGACACCAGAGTATGTCATGACACCAGAGTATGTCATGACACCAGAGTATGTCATGACACCAGAGTATGACACCAGAGTATGTCATGACACCAGAGTATGTCATGACACCAGAGTATGTCATGACACCAGAGTATGTCATGACACCAGAGTATGTCATGACACCAGAGTATGTCATGACACCAGAGTATGTCATGACACCAGAGTATGTCATGACACCATAGATGGCCATGACACCAGAGTATGTCATGACACCAGAGGATGTCATGACACCATAGATGGCCATGACACCAGAGTATGTCATGACACCAGAGTATGTCATGACACCAGAGTATGTCATGACACCAGAGTATGTCATGACACCAGAGTATGTCATGACACCATAGATGGCCATGACACCAGAGTATGTCATGACACCAGAGTATGTCATGACACCAGAGTATGTCATGACACCAGAGTATGTCATGACACCAGAGTATGTCATGACACCATAGATGGCCATGACACCAGAGTATGTCATGACACCAGAGTATGTCATGACACCAGAGTATGTCATGACACCAGAGTATGTCATGACACCAGAGTATGTCATGACACCATAGTTTGTCATGACACCAGAGTATGTCATGACACCATAGTTTGTCATGACACCAGAGTATGTCATGACACCAGAGTATGTCATGACACCAGAGTATGACACCAGAGTATGTCATGACACCAGATTATGTAATGACACCAGAGTATGACACCAGAGTATGTATTGACACCAGAGTATGTCATGACACCAGAGTATGTCATGACACCAGAGTATGTCATGACACCAGATTATGTCATGACACCAGAGTATGTCATGACACCAGATTATGTAATGACACCAGAGTATGACACCAGAGTATGTCATGACACCAGAGTATGTCATGACACCAGAGTATGTCATGACACCACAGATGGCCATGACACCAGAGTATGTCATGACACCAGAGTATGTCATGACACCATAGTATGTCATGACACCAGAGTATGTCATGACACCACAGCTGATGTTAGGTTCACGCCCGGCTAGTGTGTGGTACTCTAGTGTGTGGTACTCTAGTGTGTGGTACTCTAGTGTGTGGTACTCTAGTGTGTGGTACTCTAGTGTGTGGTACTCTAGTGTGTGGTACTCTAGTGTATCGTACTCTAGTGTATCGTACTCTAGTGTATCGTACTCTAGTGTATGGTACTTTAGTTTGTGGTACTTTAGTGTGTGGTACTCTAGTGTGTGGTACTCTAGTGTGTGGTACTCTAGTGTGTGGTTCTCTAGTGTGTGGGACTCTAGTGTGAGTACTCTAGTGTGTGATACTCTAGTGTGTGGTACTCAAGTGTGTGTTACTCTAGTGTGTCGTACCCAGACATAAAAATTATTCCAAAACATGGTTTGACTAATGCCTGCGTCAGTAACTTAAGTCAAAGTTACATTCAGGTAGAGATAATAGTTAGGTCGCTGGTACAGTCAGTAAGTTAGGTCACAAGTTAAGTTGGTGAGTTACGTTAGAAGTTCAGTCAGTGAGCTAGATAAGTAGTACAGGTATCTGGTTATACCACTAGTAAAGATATTGAGTTATATCACTAGTACAGATATTGAGTTATATCTCTAGTACAGATATTGAATTATATCACTAGTACAGATATTGAATTATATCCCTAGTACAGATATTGCATTATATCACTAGTACAGATATTGAGTTCTTTGCCTAAGTCGTTTAGCGCAAAGAGAAAAAAGATTAAAAACCATTAAAGAGAAGAAAATAATTACATCATTGTCGCACGCTTTGAACCAGCTGTATTAAAGGACAATTTTTTTTTAATGGCGATCATTACTTTCTTTGTGGGACATAAAAGTTTTTGTAAAATAGTGTGTAACATATGGCTTAGCGAGTAGCACAAAGATTTCTTGCATTGTGCAACATCCTTATACACAATATGTAGCACAGCATTTTTATAGCATCGTGCAACATCCTTATACACGATATGTAACACAACCCTTTTTATAGCATTGCGTAACTTCCTTAGATACAAAATCTAATCCACCATTTTATGGATTTGTGCAATATCCTAATTAATCCACTATATGTAACACAGCATTTTATAGCACTGCTTAGAGAGATTTTGCAATACACAATTTATGTAGCATTGTGCAATATCTGTAGATATCACAATTCACATATCAGAGTCCACCCTTCACTGTTCACACATCACATTTCACATATCACGAACCCAACACCAACCACCATTTGAACACCAAACAGACGTGCCAGAATGTCATAACCAGCTGTAAGTTGTAAGTCTCTGACAACAACCAGAATTTGAGTCAAAACAAGGCCGTTCAAAAACGAATTAATTTATCCAAACAAAATTTGTTTACCACTTGTCAAGAGTTGTCCGCTAAAAAAAACGGAAAGGGAGATAACACTTTAGAGAAACCAAATTCTATCATGCTAGGTTGTCTTTTCTTTTTCTTTAACATTTTGTACAAGTATGGGTAGGGAGAAAGGGGGTTAAAAGTGGGGGGGGGGGAGTGGAAAAGAGGGGGGGGGGGGGTTCATCCAATATAGAACACCGGATTCCAGGATTCCAGATCGACTAGACACGTTGACAGAGCACATGGCTCAAGTGATTATGCGATTGTTTACACCGGAAGTGACGCGCGCGGCGCAGTTCTGCAGAGAAAGGACACCGCCGAGTGTACACTGTGAGCGATGACAGGCGAGGATTTCTTGCTCGCGTTCAAATCCCTTCTATAGTTTGATTGGTTTTTGGCCGTAAGACTCTTGAGGACGCTCGGCGTACTTCTGAAAAGTAAAGTTTTTTTTTTTTTTAAATACCGGTTGGACATTTGAGATGTATTATTTTTTTAATTTTTTTTTCCAGGTGTTTGCTTCCTATTTGGCTTTCTGTGGCATCGGTCTGAAGAACGCTCAGTTGTACGAGAGATCGCTCTTAGAGAATCGTCGAAACCAAGTAAGTCATGGTTGTACCACTAAAGTCACGGTTGTATCAGATAAGTCACAGTTGTATCAGATAAGTCACAGTTGTACCAGATAAGTCACAGTTGTACCACTTCAGTAACAGTTGTATCACTTAAGTCACAGTTGTACCACTTCAGTAACAGTTGTACCACTTCAGTAACAGTTGTACCACTTAAGTCACAGTTGTACCACTTAAGTCACAGTTGTACCACTTCAGTAACAGTTGTACCACTTAAGTCACAGTTGTACCACTTCAGTAACAGTTGTACCACTTCAGTCACAGTTGTACCACTTCAGTCACAGTTGTACCACTTCAGTAACAGTTGTACCACTTCAGTAACAGTTGTACCACTTCAGTAACAGTTGTACCACTTAAGTCACAGTTGTACCACTTCAGTAACAGTTGTACCACTTAAGTCACAGTTGTACCACTTAAGTCACAGTTGTACCACTTAAGTCACAGTTGTACCACTTCAGTAACAGTTGTACCACTTCAGTCACAGTTGTACCACTTAAGTCACAGTTGTACCACTTCAGTAACAGTTGTACCACTTCAGTAACAGATGTACCACATAAGTCACAGTTGTACCACTTAAGTCACAGTTGTACCACTTCAGTAACAGTTGTACCACATAAGTCACAGTTGTACCACATACGTCACAGTTGTATCAGATAAGTCACAGTTGTGTCACTTCAGTAACAGTTGTACCACATAAGTCACAGTTGTACCAGATAAGTCACAGTTGTACCACTTAAGTCACAGTTGTACCACTTCAGTAACAGTTGTACCACTTAAGTCACAGTTGTACCACTTCAGTAACAGTTGTACCACTTCAGTCACAGTTGTATCAGATAAGTCACAGTTGTATCAGATAAGTCACAGTTGTATCAGATAAGTCACAGTTGTATCACTTCAGTAACAGTTGTACCACATAAGTCACATTTCTACCAGATAAGTCACAGTTGTACCACTTAAGTCACAGTTGTACCACTTAAGTCACAGTTGTACCACTTCAGTAACAGTTGTACTACTTAAGTCACAGTTGTACCACTTCAGTAACAGTTGTACCACTTCAGTAACAGTTGTACCACTTAAGTCACAGTTGTACCACTTAAGTCACAGTTGTACCACTTCAGTAACAGTTGTACCACTTAAGTCACAGTTGTACCACTTAAGTCACAGTTGTACCACTTCAGTAACAGTTGTACCACTTAAGTCACAGTTGTACCACTTAAGTCACAGTTGTACCAGATAAGTCACAGTTGTACCAGATAAGTCACAGTTGTATCAGATAAGTCACAGTTCCACCAATTAAGTAATATCTTCATCTAATCGTAAATTAATCTGAAAACTCCTTATTAGCATTCTGTAAGTCATTTCTTGATAGTCCCAGTCACATCATTACCAGAAAGTCAAGACCACGCCTACAAAATCACCCCCTCCCCCCTATTTTCAAGCTTGTGATGCGGAGTCGGCTAGTGACTCGAGTCCGCAAACATTCGAGCTTGTGACGCGGACTCAGCGAACACACCCTGTCCTCGAAGTCAGCGGTCTAACATTTTTGTATTCGCGTCAGTGACGCGTCATCAGACTCCGTGTCACGCGTCGAGCATGCGCGAAGCTTGATTGACGTCTCTGCTAGTTGTTTGTGGTGGAACCGGCACTGGCGCTGATTAACGAGGAAGGGAGATAATTAAAATTCAGGGGAAGTAATTATCTGACATCGGTTTTTACGTGACAGGCAAAGGGCGGGTAATAAGTATATCCGAGGCAAGGAATCTTTACCTGATGTTAAATTTATAGATTACGAACCTTGGAGTTTACAACTTATCATGTTACGAAGTTTTCGACTTACGAACATTTTGATTAAGAACGTTTCAGCTTACGAACATTTCGGTTACGAACTTTTCGGCAACGAACATTTCAGATTACGAACATTTCAGTTACGAACTTTTCGGCCTACGAACTTTTTCAGGCTATGAACATGTTTTCGTTACCTAATACACTCAAAGTAAATAGAACATTCTTTGATTAAAAATAAACGGAACATTCTTCGACGCCAAATCAATGAAAAAAAAAACTGCGATAATAAATATAAGGAAAATACTTTCACACTATATACAGCGAATATGCAATATACATGGAACACGTTTCAATACTGTATACGTGGACAATTGTTTTACCACTTTCATCAATATCTAACACTCAAAAAGTTATTCGTGACAAAATACTTGGAAAACTCTTCGATAAGAAATACAAGCACACTGATCGTTCAATGTAAAAGGTATCGAAAATAAAAGTTCTATAGAAAATACAAGGACAATAGTTTTTCGATTACATAATACACGGAAAAATTATTTGATTCAAATTACTCGAGATATACTCGATACCAAATACACGGAAAATTACTTCATATAATATATACAGAAAATATTCGGAACCCTATACACAGAAAATGACTTAATATAAAATATACAGAAAATATTCGGAACCAAATACAGGGAAAATGATTTTAAAATACACGAGAACCATTCAATACCAAACACCCAAATGCAGCAAATCTTTAAAAAAAAAACACCCACTACTTCCTGTGCTTAGCGTTAATGGCTATTCCGTGTGGTGAGAGACGCACAAAGAAAAGCGGTGTTTAATGACTTAAAAATATTCTTCCAAACAACTCTCTCTACAAGCTTTTAAAAAACTCATGTGACGTCAGAACATTCTAAAATGGTTTCAGTTGCCAATGGGGGTAAAAAAAAAAGTTGCAAAACACCTTATCGATATCCAAGCTTTTAATGCTGGCATAGAACCTTTTTTTTTTTTGTGGGGCTCAGAAAAGGATTTGAATATTGGGAACAATAGGGCGTTATGGGAGCTCTTCTGTTGAGCTGGTTAGTGTTTCATGGGTGGGGGGGGGGGGGGGGGGGGGGAGGTCGTAACTCGAGGCAAGTTACACATCTGTAGGCGTAGTTTTACTTAAAAACAAACAAAAACAAAAATAACTGTTTCGGGTACGGTTTCCGAAGCCCAGTCCCGAAGTTCAGCAAGTCTTTTTTTTTTTTTTAAAAATCCGCGTGAAGATTATAAATATATTCCTTAACGTTGAAAGTGTATACCTAGTATTTTAATGTTAAGAAATACATTTTTTTAAAACTGAAACATAGTAGCAGGTTGAAATCAACAAATTTTTAATATCGCAACGTGTGGAATTTAACTTATAAACCAGCACATTGTGAAAATCTTTGCGGAAATCTGCAGAAGCAAAACACTTTTCATTTAAACGAAAGGTGTGTGTGTGTGTTTTTGTTTATGGTGGGGGTGTGGAGGAGGGTGGTACTTTACTTCTCACCCGGATATAGAACGGATCCAAGAGCGAGTAAAATACAACACATAAATAAACCCACATATTATCAAAATATATTTTTTTAAATCTCTAAAAATAGCCACAGTTTAAAATATCTAATCACAGAAAAATAAACCCACGTGTTTTTAAGATATATTGTTTTCTAAATTCTCTAAAAAAAGGCCACAGTTTAAATTTATCAAACAGAAAAATAAACCCACATGTTATTAAGATATATTGTTTTCAAAATTCTCTAAAAATAGCCACCAATTAAGCAAAAATTGAGCAAGCAAATAACACCTCGAGTAAATTGTGTGATCGAATTAGACCCGGGGTTTGGGTCTCTCACAGGAAAACACCTGTCCACAGTTTACTCCGCTCGGCCGAATGACGTCACGCGCAGGTAACCTATAACTGCTGTTTATCACCTTTGAAGTGCACGGCAATTAATTACACCTGCCAAAGATGAAAAAAAAAACCCCCGTAATTTCCGAGTTAATAAAAAACCGGTCGATTATTTCATACCACTAGGGGGATAAAATTTTACGACATTGTTTAATTGTTGGTCTATGCCTCAACGTTTTCTCAGTCGGCGGCCATCTTTAGGGGCGATCGTTGTAGTTGTCAGACGCAGACGTGTAATAAAAACCTGTTTCCGGTCATTGTTCAGGGTAGTCTTTGTGATAGGTTTTATAATGTAATTCATCTATTTTTATGTCTCCGGTTTTTTTCTTGATTCTTTGTTAATGTTAAAAAAAAATGAGTTATTTGATGTATTTATTTTTTAATTCCAATAATGTAAGTCTTTTGTGTGTTTTTGTATTGTGGGTGCTGTTTTTATTTATTTCTTGATCTTTGTAGTGAGGTTTTTTATTTATTTCTTGATCTTTGTAGTGAGGTTTTTGTTTATTTCTTGATCTTCTTTATAGTGAGGTTTTTATTTATTTCTTGATCTTCTTTATAGTGAGGTTTTTATTTATTTCTTGACCTTTTTATAGACAGGTTTGAATTTATTTCTTAATGGCCTTTGGGGTGCTGTTTGTATTTATTTCTGAATCTTTTTTGTAGTGAGGTTTTTATTTATTCCTTGATCTTATTTGTAGTGTTTTTTTCACGTGTACACAAAATTCTATAATCTGTGTACACACTAAAAATTCCCAATGCCAGAACATTTCTCCCGTACACAGTTGTCTAACGACTTCCTTGATCTGTTTATCTCTCGGACACTTCCGGTTCCGGTCACCCTGGGCTCCGTGTTGATATTTGTCTCACCATTTCCAGCAAGGCCGTCTAAATTTAGACACCCCGTCTGTGACGCCATTATTGGATGCGACATTACTCTCCATTAGTCCGCGCGCAAGGTGAAGGACGGTGCTTTTTTGTTTTGTTTTATGTGAGTAAATAACAGCTGTTATGGGGTGTGATGTTGTGATGCGGTTTTTGAAAATGTCGTTCAGAAAGTGACATTGGAATACTTTTGTTAGTGTGGGTCTGACGCATTCGTGTGTGTGGATGGGGGGTGGGGGGTGATAGAGATGATGGGGAAACACTGTTATAAGTTGAATAGGTCAGGAAGTCCTAACAAGTAAGGAGATTATACTGGTCAATGACGACATACTGACCAGTGACGACATACTGACCAATGACG